AACCCTAACCCTAACCCTAACCCTAACCCTAACCCTAACCCTTTGCTGTACAGATGCTCATCTATATACCGCAAAGGCCCTTCTGGCCAGCTCAGCTACACCGTTCAGTGTGCGTAACTCAGAGACAGCGTAGTACAGACAGAGCGTGCACCTGGCAGGGCCGTTTGCCAGGCAAGCGCAGTGAAAATTTTTGCACACAAGCACCGTACTTGCCCCAGAGCAAACAGTGGCTGAGCATGGAGACAAAGGGGATTCCTGACTGGACGCATGCTGATAGGTCAGATAGGCACAGCACACCCTGGTCAAAGACAAAGGGAGATGGTGTTGGCGATGGCCAAAGCAATGTGCGGTGATGAACAAAGGGATCCAGTCCGGCCTGGTGGGCGGACACACCCACTGGCAGTCTGATCAACTGACGCGCTGAAAAGCTGACGCGCTGAAAAGTTGACGCGCCATATCACTGTCTGTGCCGGCTGACACAGGACTGGTCAGAACCGTCACTGACACTGCAGCACCTCAACTGCAGCCGGAACCTCAACCGGAGTGTTGGAACCTCCACCAACACCATCACGACCCAGCCAGCAATCACGCCAACAGCTCACCTGATTGCTCACAGCTCCACGCCGCCGTCAAGAACACTCACGGGGCGTGAGAGCTACATCTACAACACCAAACTATGCCGCGCTGCCTCTGAACGGAGTGTTCAAAAAGGGTCAGTCGATAGCCGCCTCCCATTTTGGCAGAGCAACATCATTCTACGCCAAGCTCGCTGATCTTGGCTTGCATCGCCCTGCTATTGCCGAAGTCAAGAGTTGAGCCTCAAGACGGCTATCAGGCACGCGTCCCCTTACACTTAGTCACAAGCTTGCTAATTTGTTGACATCTGTCTTTCTGGGTCGGCCCCCCAATGACAAAGGCTCAACTTGATATGTACAGACGCTGCAGGTGATTGAAGGTAGAGAGCAAGGATGGAGCTGCATATTGCAGTGATGGTGGAGAGCAACTTAGGTACAGACGGGCCACAACTCAGCCAAAATTGAGCCACATCAGCTAGGCAAAATATTGGCCGAGAAAAGAGCTAAAACATGTCTGTACAAAATTGCGCCTGACCCTGGTGGTGACACTGTCAATTGGGAAGCTAGCTCAAGTTTGGCCCGGGCTGGGCTTGCATTGCCAAGATTGATGAGTTTGGGAACAACCCATGTCCCTCGAGCAAACCTATAACACCAATAAGACTCTGCTGTCTGCTGGTTGGAAATCACTTTGGCCATCAACCGGAAAATAGAAATCACAGATGTTGCAGTCAATTCAAACACGGGTTGACTAGATGCGAGCGCAGACACAGTGCGACAGGTAGTGTGCGTTGCAGGTTCAATGAGTGCTATGAGAGCTGAGAATGGGTATTGCAAATGCTAGTCGGAGAGAGATCAGAAAGCGTGCGGCGCGTTGTGAGCCGAGTCAAGGGCCAGGCCGACGCCGAAGAAGATGGTGAAGAGATCGCCGCCGAGCCACCTTCGGCGGTCGATGGCAGAGAGAGAGCTGGGTGCCGAGGCTTCGAGCGATGCGTCGCGCTCGCCTCTGGTTGAGCGACCGCCGACCTTTTCGTAGCTGGACTTGACGAACCATGACAGCTGCGCTGCGAAGGGCGAAAAGTCGATCTGACCGAGTTGATCGAAGCGCTTGCTGCAGAGGTAGATGAGCTCCTGTGCTGATCGCGTCATCTCGGCGTCGTGGAAGTCGACGATGAGCGAAGATGCGACAGCGGCTTGCCCGAAACGACGAAGCAAGTAGCCGGGAGCGTACAGGAGCGCACCACTGATCTCCGGGTCAGTAAAGATGTCCATGAGCACTTGGCACGCCTGGCGAATGTCGTGTTGATAAGCTGCGACGAATCGTGCTGACTCTTCTTCGTATCGAGCATCGTAGCCATTGCCCGCTTTCGAAGGGCGTCCAAGATCAGCAGACTTGAGCGCGACAGCTGCGAGATAGATCTGGAGCGTCCATCGATCGACCAGACCAACGATCCTTTCGAGTCGGCTACAGTCGGTCTCGGAGGCAAGCCAGCGCTTCTCCAGATCGAAAAGCTGGGACTGAAGATACTTGAAGCGATCCCAATCGTGGGTGAGGTTCGTCCGAACAGTCGGCGGCGGCAGCTCAGCCAACGGCAGTGGCGAGTTGCAAGAGATCTCGCCCAACCACATCTGCAGCTCTTTGAGGACCGAGACGGCTCTGACGAGATAAGGAGCAGGTATCGAGCTGCGCGGCGGTCGTGGCGCTTTGGAGAGAACGAGGTCGTGGTCGGTGAGCTCCATGCCCTTGCCTGTGTCGATAGCAGCCAGCGACTCGAACGCCTTCAAGGCGGTCCAGGTTGTCGGCAGACGTGACGAGAGAACGGCGGCGGCTCGATCCCCGGTGAGCGCTGCTACCTGCGCGCTTTGAGCTACGCTCTGAAGCAGGTCGGACGCGTGGCTCGCCAAGAGCTTCTCGTCGGGGGTGCCGGGGAATGCCTGTGGCCAGTAAGCGATAAGAAGGATGGCCTGCACAGTGCTAATGGTGGGCTCTGGCGAGCAAAGCTGAGTGCCGAGCTGACTGAGCGCATAAGAAGCCAATCCGCCCTGGATCTCTGAGCGTATTGTTGGATCACCCTTGGCATGCGACTCTTGATACAGCGCTCCGACTGCGAGGATAACAGAGAGCAGAAAGGGATCGGAAGCTGAGAGCGACGCTACGCTTGTCTTGTCTTCGAGGTCGAGGAAGGGGGCAAAGACGTGGCAATAGGTAAGGAAGACCTCAAGGAGCATCTGTCCCATCTCGATGGTGATGAAGCCTGCTTCAATGGGATTGTTGCCTGGTCCGTATCTTGCGCCGCCGTTGGAGAAGGAATGTCCGGTGACAACCGAAGAGGCGGAGAGCGGCGCAATGGTGTCGTTGGATGCCCGTGTCGGTGCAAAGCGCTCTTCAATTGCGGTGGTCGGCCTCTCGCGACTGCTGAGCCTGTCCTGCTGCGACAGGGCCTGAAGCGGAATACTTGCTTCGGAAGCGCCGTCCTGGAGCTCGTCGACCTCTGCATCCGAGTCATCGGGCGAGTCGGCTCTGGGCCTCTTGCGCTCTGGCTTGCCGGGTGATACGCCGGATCTGGAGGTGGAAGGTCGGTCGCCGCGATCGAAGGAGGACGACTGACCTTCGACTTTGTCCACCAAGCGAGAGACGGTGCGCTCGAGGTTGTCAATTCGTCGCACTGCATCAGGCAAAGAGTAGCCAAATCGATCCGAAGGTGGGCGCTGGCTGAAGTTGTCGCGATGGTGAGCATTCGGATGCATATGGTTTGTAGCGCGGACGTGACCCATGAAGGCGCCGTCGGAGCCAGCAGAACCGAAAGGTGGGGGTCCTGTTGAGTGCGATGGGAGACCGCTGACGGTTAGATGCATGGAAGCCTGCGACTGAGGGCGAGTGGAGCCCGAGGAGGAAAAGGATCCGCTATTGGGCTTGCCTTCTCTGTCGTCCGGATGAGCCCTGTTGGAGTTGGGGGTTCCCGAGGTGGCCTCGGATGGTTCCTTGCACACAAGCTTCAGCTTTAGGCATCGCGCGCAGGGGAAGACGCCGTCACATTTGAGCTTCTGACCTCGGCAGCGAATGCAAGCGCGTTGAGAACGCTTTCGCTTCTTGGCTTCGGGCTCAGTATCCTTGGAGTTGTTGTGCAGATCGGCGCCGTCCTTTGAGTCGTTGGGAAGCATCTTTTCGTCTGGCGAATGCGAACGGCCTTGGTCTGGTGGAATGGCCGGGGGGCTGGGAGCGTCAGCAGGATTGTCAATGTTGCTGAGCACGGAGCCCTTCTGCGGGGGCTTTGCTTCTGACATGATGTGCTTCTTTGGGTTCCAAGTGAGTCGAGCCGAGGGGCGGAAGAGAGGACAAAAGAGCCAGTGCGCGGGCGAGCTAGGATGGGGAGATGAGAAGCAGCCGATGGCGGCAGTGTGGAAAGGCGAGGCAGAGCTTCGAAAGAGGACCGACCTTGAAGGGTTCGAAAGCGCTGCTGAGACGTGTGCTGTGTGCTGATGTGCGTGTCCAGTGAACGGTATGCTGTATGCTGATGCGGTTATGTTAAAGCTTGATGCGAAGGCAGTGGTCGGCTGAGTGCTCTGTCACGATGAACTGAAAGAAGATCCGAAGATGGACGAGTATACCGACGAGGATCCTGCCAGTATGTGGCGAAAGCGGAGCGATGATCAAGTGGGAGGCGGATTGATGCGTAGCTGATGGTTGTGGATGGTAGGACGGACCGAGACTATTGGAAAGACAACGATGATGAAGAAGCAGAGCTAAGGCTGTCGCTACGAGGACGAGGCACTGAAAGGGCCGGCCATGTGTGAATGAGCTGAAAGGGAGCGAGCGTTACGGACCGGATTTACGGTTTGGGTTTGGAAGTAGCGGCTGTGCGGGTCCGAACCGCTGAGAGGGAGGCGGGCGTGAGCAAGGGGATCTACAGTGACGAGGACGGGGGGAGCAGCCCGGCTTGGATCGGCATCAGCCGCGGCGGAGGCAGAAGCAAGGAGGTGGCATCTGGACGTGGTCGAAGCGAGCCAGCGGCAAGAGAAAGCAGGAATCGCTGTGTGGTTTGGAGAGAGCTTGCATCCGAAGTGCAGGTTCCACAACCCAAGAGAATGGGAGCAGCGGCTGCGAGAGCGATGCGAGTAAGCAAAGCCGGCAAAGCATGTGCATCAGCAACGGCTTCTCGTTTTGGGTGAGATGTGTGAATATGGATTTGATCGCCGTGTGGGCAAGCAGAAGAGAGGCAGATCCGACGGCCTTGATCTTCCGAACGCATTGACCGATCCCAAATTTGCATCCCACCGAACCGGAAGAGACAGCGAGGATGTGGCAAAAGGTAAAGTCATGCATGCATGCATGCACGCGGGCCCCGGCCAGCCAGCCAAGCTCGAATCAAGGGAAAAGGGTTTCCTTTCGGTTTTTTTCTTTTCGATCCCGTTGCGAGGTTCAGGATGGTCAAGCGAACGCCGGCTTCGAGTTACGCAAGCGAGCAAGGAGGGGGGCGCCAGTCAACCCTGCGAGATAGCTCACTCACGCTGAGACCGGGGTTGTCCGAATCGGAAGCGAAGCTCGCATCTTGGTGACCATTGTTCTTCTCAAAGGCCTCTCATTTCCGAGCGCCACGTACACTCAACGCAGCGCAAAAAGGCGGAGAACGCTGGCATTGCATCGGATGCTGGGCCGAAGTTGAATGGAAGGAGCATTGTGATGACAAAGTGGCGTGGCCAGCTTGTGATTGTGGCGCAGTGCCGGATCGCAGCCGTGAGAGACACCGCCTCTTTCACACATTACTGCACAGACTCGCACCCCACGTTGATCAACGAATCGAAGCCTTGCGATTTGATAGCCGCACATGGGCGAATGGGGGGGGCGTGACTTTCAGAAGCCGACCAGGTGGCTCGAAAGGGTGCGATCGGGGTCGGAGGGCGTACCGTAAACCAGTCTTGTCAAGGGCTCAATTATTCGCTCGCTCTTTTCGCCAAACGCCGCGGTGCGCGATTTTGAAATAGCTCCCGACTCGCTTAGCGAGGTGTCGGGCCAAACTGAGATTTGCGGCGAATGGTTGCGATCAGGCACATCGGCTTCCTTTTGGTCACTCTCGCTTGCGCAGTCGACAAGTTGACCGGAACTCCTGATTGCAACAAAACTCATCGTAGAAACTTCTCTCGTTAGCCCGCGAGAATCTCGTGGGTTGCATCCCGTCTCTCCCCCTCAACGTATTCGTCGACCGAAATTGCTCCTGTTCTACCACCGTTCATGCGCACTCGGTAAGCTGGTCCACAGCGCATCGCCGCGGCCGACGGGTCCGGGAGAGACCTTTGCGCGGCCAATGACCCCGTGCCTTTGCAGACATTATGATCTTTGAAACTGGTTCTGTTCGACATGGGTCTCCCTTGCAAGCTATGTTGGTCTCAAAACCTCCAAAACTGCATTGGCCCCTGTCCGATGCTGCTTGCCTTTGTCGTCCAGCATGAGTCGAACCGCGTATTGAAACGAGCAGAGTCTGCAAGTGCGGGTATCGTTAGTCGATCCAATCGCCCACGTTGATGATGGCAGACCCTCTGCCCTCTGTGAGTTCGGCAGAGCGATAAGCGAGCGTGGCCGGTTGGAGGACTGTGCGTCGCTGGTCAGATGCTTCCGCTGCGAAAGTGCAGCTTCACTGCCGTCTCACGCGTTGGATCTTGTCTCACTTTTCCCCTTCTCGTCGGCCGCCGAAAGCACCGAGTCTCCGGGGTCCGGCGATGAGGAAAGGGTCCTGAGATTCTGGTTGCCGGCTGTTGGCCGCTCGCCCGACTTACCCTCCTCGCTGAGAGGATCACCATCGCCGCTGAGAGCGCGGACGAGGACGGCGTTAGTTTTGTTCATATATCATCCGTCCTCACGATGCTGTCGTCTGCACGGGTGACGGACGGGCGACGAAGCTGGGTCAGCCGAGTGATCACATACGCCTTTTTGAGTTCCAGCTCCGATAAAAGGGCCACCCGGGCTCTTGAGAGCCAACTTGAATTCCTGCCCGCCCCAGGAAATGGTTGCTAAAAGTAGAAATCTGCGCTCAAACGTGAAAAAAGGCTGCAGAACCAAAAGAAAATTTTGCGTCTCGCTCTCTTCGGCGAGTCTGCAGCTCGGATCCGCTTTGACTCTCTTGCGCTGTGCGCGCTGACGAGCGAATCATTCCATCCTGCTAGGCCGGGACGCATGCCGAAAACAATATGGGACCGGTGACACCTCTCTTGTCCGAATCTGCACAGCTTACAAAGAGCGGGTAAACTTTGGCCATTTCGCCGCCAGCTCATCGGTCAAACAAGCCGAAGATCCGCCGCCTTGTCGCTCGCTGGAGGAACCCAACGGAGCTTTGACATGTGATTGGCACGCGATTGAACATTGCCAGACCACATCTTGTTGACAAAGTCGCTGAGCCAAGTTTCGTACCCTTGCTGCCACCGAGAATACGTACTGCAACTGGCCTACTGCATTTCGTGCGATACCTTTTTCCTCTCGGTCCAATAGCGGGGTCCCGCTGATCCATCGGTAAAACACCGAAGCCGATGGAACACGAATCTCGCCGGGTTTGGTGTACCCAGCGAGTTGCCCATTCGGCCGCGAGACAGGTCATACTGACAAGGTCGTTGCTCTGATCTTCAGTCACTTCAATTTGATCTCTCTTGGCGCACATTTTTGCGTTTCGATACGCGAGTCGACCATGGCGCTGAATGAGTGATGATGCAGCTTCCAGCGCGGTGGTACCGGCAATACACTCCCTTAACACGCTTCATGAAAGAATGCCGCCTTAACAGACAGCAAGCATATGAGTGGACCGTGGAGAAGATCCTTCCCGAGGTGCTCGGATCGTAAGCTCAACGAAACCCTAGGCGAGAGTAGCCGCTATAACTTACAAAGTATTCACAGACGGCGCCGGACGGAAACGAATGTATTGCCGATCCTTCTCTCTCTATCCAGCTATTCACCTCACAGCTCGAGATTGGTCGTGCCCATATCCCTGATCCAAGGGCGGAAGTAGTCATCCACCGTCTCTGGACTCTGGAACGCATCCCACGTAGGCGTCGTCAGTCCCCACGTGTCGTTGTTGAACATGAGCCCCTGGCGAATCCTATAGCTTCCGGCTAGCGACCAGTGGGCCCACCCGATCTTGTTCTTGGTCGTAAAGTCGCGCAGGCATTTTTGCATGGTGACATTTGCGAATCCTGCGTCTTGGGCGTCACCAAACTCGGTGAGGAGCGTCGGGAGGGTGAGCTTTGCAGGAGGACAGGCGTACGGATCAGAGAAATTGGTCGAATTGGTGCACCCTTCAGGACGGGCGGACTCGCCCAGGGCGTTGAAGCCGAATCGATAGAGACCGGCTTGAATGGCGTCGCAGTCTTCAAGATGGTCCTCGTAGTAGGTGGATTGCTTGTACGCGTGGATCTCCAGCACCGCCTTCTTTGCCTTTCCGAACGACGTCTCTTCGATCTTGGCGTACTCCTCGGGGAGAGACGAGGCATCGGCGGGATAGTCCATGTCGGTGTTGACGTAGGGCGCGGTAAGCAGGTTAGCTTGGGTGGTGAGCGCCGAGAGGTCGATATCGTAGTCCAATCCGCTAATCGTAATGAGCAGATCGGGGTTGGTGGCATGGATGTTCTCCGCAGCGGCCGACACGTTGCCCCACCACGTCTTCCAGTTGTACTCCAGATTTTGCTTGACCGCCGACTTGCGCAGCTCATTGCGGAGTGACATGGAGACGATGTTGGTGTGATTCTTGGCCCAATTGGCCATGTATCGGTGACCTCGGTGCCAGTTGGAGATGTTAAAGTCCATATCGTCGAACCACGCATTGCCGTCGTCGTGGCTGCAGCACCAGATGGCGCGGCTGATGTGGTTGTCCAGATGCATCAGGATGCCTTGCTTCGCCTCCTCCTCGGCGATCATCGAGAGCACCTCGAGCCGTGTGGTGCTATTGGTGATCTGCGGGTTGTTCTTGTTAATCATCTCCATGGTTTTCGTTCCGTTTTCCTCACCCAGCGCGTACAGAAGGGCAGATTGAACAGTGATGTCCGTGCCGCTGTTCTCATAGATCTGGTCGATCATCTGAATGGCATACGTGTGACGCACAAAGTTGTAGCCAACATACTTCATCATGCTGACAATGTCGGCGATCGAGCGCCACTCGATGCCTTCCGGGATCATACTCTCCCCCGATCCCGGCCAGTTGGTGCCCACGAAGATGACCGACTCGTTGTTGGCGTTCTTGATCTGGTTGCCGGAGGTGTAGAAGGGGCCATGGGGCCAGTCATCGCGACGAATGGGTGTGGCTGCGGCCCTAGCGACTTGAGCAGCTGCAGCCGCAAAGGGCAGGAGCGCGAGGAGGTTGAGCTTCATGGTAAAAGGTGTGCTCAAAGAGTGTTAGCGGGCAGGTTGCGTTGTGGGGTGGAAGAGCTGCCCTTCTTATACGTTCCAGCGCCACTGCCTCGTGCTGAAGCCAGCAGTGCCTCACAAGACGCCTCCCCTTCGCCAGGCAGGGGCGAACGGGCCTGGTCATACGAGCATACTAGTAGACCTCGCATATCTGCAACGACACAAGCGATGCGGTCAAGTATAGCGGGTGAATGAGATCTCCAAGCGAGAGCCTGACGGACCGAGATGCGGGGTGGTGTATTCCCCGGAGAAGCAGGGTCGACAAATACACCAGCGTACAAGAAGGCAGACGGCCCAGAGGCAGGACCGTCTGACGGATCCCTTGCGCCTAGTATCGCTTCCGAGGTTCGGTCATCTGCAGTATGAGGTGTGTTAGCGCAACAAGTCTGGGGAAGAGACCGCGAGCACACTTTGACATGGAAGCGCGGGGGAGAGGAGAGATTTCCGATGCGGGGGTGGACAGCCGAGGGTGTCCTTCCGCAAATCTGCGGCTTCTTTCGCCCGCCGAGTCAGCAGGTGGTCAAGGTGAATTCGCCGGTCTCCCCTCTCGTCTATCCATCATGAAAAAGAGCACTCGCCCGGGACAAGGACGTAGCAGTTGGCACCGCAATACACGGCCAGCTGTGAGTGAACCCAGCATTCTTCGCGACCAGTGTCGTCGCTTGGGTCAGTGCTTGCGTCAAGGTAGCTCTGCTGGCTGCCGGCTTAGCCCCACTTCAAGAGCTCAGTGAGCAGTAGTTGCCTCGTCTCGACGATAACATATCACAGCGAGAATGTTGATAATGAGCTGCATTGTGACCGAGCCAAATAGTGTACAAGATGAGAGTTCAAAGCGAGCCAGATCATGCTTGCTCAGGGTTGATCTGAGCAGCGAGCGGCTGTTCGTCTGCGAATTGTCCACCCTGACCACTGACGCTCTGTCCTGGCTGTGCCTCGAGCTTGGACGAGAGACCCTTGGTTCGCACCTCCCAGCCGTACCCTCCGCCTGGCGCGCCTGGCACGTTGTCGCCTGGTCCGTCGTAGTGCAGCTTCGAGACGTCGTAGTTGTCAATGAACTCCCAACCATTTTCGCGCACATGGTAGAGGTTGACCGTCTGTGGTTGTAGAGAGGATCAGGGAATGAAGAGCATTCTGGATCAGCAAATATACTTCGAGACGCAAAAGCCTGTTTGCCATCAAAAAGCAAATGGCACGCCGATGAGCGGTGCCGATACTTACGTTACCCGAATAGGCGTCACGGTGAGCAGCAGCATAGATGGAGCGTCGTCCGAGCTCCTGCGCATCTTCGTCCGAAAAATCCCACTTGTACCCCTGGTCGAGCACACCGTACGCAAACGTTGAACCGGATCCAACACTGAAGACGTCGCCCTTGAGACGCGTGCCGTCCGAGTCGACGTAGAAGAGCGCGGGACCGGTCTTGTCCCAGCCGCAGATCATGGTGCCCATCGACAGACCCATGCCCTTGTAGCTGTACACGAGATTGCTCAGGTACTTGCTCGCAGCGGCGACCGAGATGCGTTCCTTGTTGCGCAGCTCGTGCAATCGGCACTGGATGCCCAAATAGGTCTCCCAGTATTGACAGTCGGCAGCACCACCAGCCATGGTTCCCAGCAGATACGGATTGATCTCGATGACCTTCTTTACTGTTCCTGAGGCGATGTAGGATCCGGCGGTGGCTCTCGAGTCGACGCAGACGATGATGCCGCCCTTGAAGCGGAAGGCGAGCGTGGTGGTACCGTGCGCAAGCTTGATCTTCGCAGCCGGGTTGGAGGAGTCGACGTCGGTGTACTGGGACAGGAACGTGGCCGGGTCCATGTTGGGGAGGTCGAATTGACCTGGGGCTCCCATCATCTGGTCGTGTGCCGAGCTGGAGCCTGTGTGCATGGCGTCGCCGCCAAAGGACGAGCTCGCCGACTGATCAAAGCGCGAAAGTATCGAGTTCATGATGTCGGGTAATGTGGACGCTTTCGGTTGCTGTGAAGATGCAGCAGCTCAGAGGATCTAGAGACGACGCAGATAGCCCTTGGTTCAGCTGACTGCAGTTGTGGCGTAGTTGAAAGCTGATGGTGATGAGCGGTGATGTTGAAGAACTGCAAAGTGTTGGTTGAGGTGCAAGGCGCAGTTGTGATGGCGTGTGCTTTTGGAAATTGCCTGTGCGTCAGTTAAGCTCTCTCTCTGTACGCGTTTCAACGGTGATCGACCCTTCCTGTGCCGCGCTTTATGTGGAGCTGGCTTTTTTCTAATCGGCATTTAGGAGCACTGGCCTAACATCGCTCCAATCTTCTCAAGCAGCTCATAGACGCTCATCTTCAAGTAATGAGCTGTACGAATGCTGCTTGATATACGAAGACCAGCTTCAGCGCAAGACAAGCCAGGGTGGGCCTCGAAACAGGGTTCTCGCAGTCCGCCTATAGGTGGCAGTGTCAAGTACAACGGAGCATACACACGTGTCGCAGGCCCACACGTTCTTGGTAACTTCCGCGCTGTGTTCCGGTGCAAACTCCGTCGCATCTGACCAGGCGTTTGGCGGGAATATCAAGCATGATCATGTGATGTCGTTCGAGTCATTGGTGTATGTACAAAAGTCGTCTCGTCGGGGCTAGCGTACAGAGCTAGAGGCGCGCTCAGCATGGACGAAAGAAGTGGCTTCCCATGGAGGCGGCTGGGAGCCCGATCAGAGATGGTCGTCCCAGCGGATATACAATGTCGAGGGGAGGAGAAGTGGCAGATACCACTAGGTGATGGGAGGCAGGCCTGATCTAGAGCAGTTTACGCTGCTTAGAACATGCAGTCGAGACAAAGGTCTTCGAGACAGCAGCAGGCGAGCATACCGGCACAGCACGCGCAGCAACCGGCACCAGCGCCTCCGCCGCCCTTCTTCTGTGGCTGCTGGACGTAGACAGGCTGAGGCTGGGGCTGCGGGTAGTAGCCGCCCTGCTGAGGCTGGCCACCGTAGGCCTGCTGGGGAGGGGGGGGGTAGTAACCCTGCTGGGGCTGACCGTAGCCTTGCTGGGGACCGCCGTAACCGCCCTGCTGAGGGTAGCCTGTTGGAGTGAGACAACAAATCACAGGGTCAAAGAGGTGCAGCGTTAGTCAATCAGCATCAAGTGAAAACGAGATAGCAATCGTAAGGTTGCTCGGTCATATCGCGGGTCAAGGACTGGCGCCGTCTAATCCATCCGTGCATTGCCCAGACGAGATCCAAGCGCGCTGATCGACACGTCTAGGAAGTAATCCTCCGAGCTCCGATGAGCGTGTTGTTCTTCGCCTGTTCGAAGGCCGCCAATTGTTGCGTTTGTGCGCAGCGTTCACTGAAACGCGAGAGCAAACGATAGGACAATGCGAGATAGCGAGCTCATCGGGATGCAATGCGTCGATAGCTACGCAGATGTCGAGATCCGTCGTCCGCACTCGAACGCGGATGGATTGCGTTAACTCGCGCGATATGACCGATGCTCCCAACTGTAGCCTGTTTGTCGTGATACGTACCACCGCCCTGGCCGCCGTAGTAGTCCTTAGCCGACATTTCGATGTGTGTGTTTCGGTGTTGAGGAGACGAAGTTGGTGAAGGGTCGATGCGAAGGACGAAGATATCTCCTTCCAAGGGATGATGATGATGATGATGGAAGGGTGGAGGGAAGGCGCAAGATTTCAAGGTCGGCAAGGCTCAGAGCTGTGCGTCGTGATGTCTCTGCGTGGAACACCTGAGTCTCTGGAAATTGATTGAGGCAGCGGCCACAGCGCAGCAGAAGGCTCGCTTTGCTGTGTTTGGTGCATGGCCCGCGCCTCGCCTTTTGTCGGCATCTCAAAATCAGGACCTGTGGGTGGGCTCGATTTTCCATCATTTGTGCGCTGTGCTGTGCTGAAATTCGAGTGGGCTTAGGGGGCCCAAGAATCTCGGTCCCCATCGGCTGTGCGAATGGGCAAGGCTGTGTATTTTTAATCCTCCAGCTCTCTGTGCCTCTCTGCAGCCGCAAAACCTGATCCGAAGGCGATGCTTCTTGAGTTGTCTCAATCTAGGCAGCTCAGATCAACAGCATGTACGCTATGGCCTCGGCATACGTCAGAAGGCTTTGCTCGACGGCGTCTGTTACTTGACCTTGGCTCCCAAGATGATGCTACTGTCGCTATCGCTTTGAAAGGGAGAGATTGAAAGCGGTCTCGATCGAAGCTTCTTCTGCGTCGTCGGTCAATGCACTCCTGCTGTGTCGTCATGCAACTGCGCGTTCGGCAACGATTCTGAACTCGAGCGGCTCTTTGTCCCGCCGGGTGGACCAGAGTGGCAGCTTAGGCTGAAACGACCGGAGATTCAATTCAAGTTCCAGGTCCTCGATCTGTCAAGCCTTCGTGTCGTTGGTCGGCCACTCTATGGAAGCGGTAGGTCGTCCTCGCACTCTGCAGCTGAGCAAGTGCCTTCGAGGTGCGGTCCTGCCAGTGCAGAGTCCGACCAGAGGCCTCTGCACGCTTGACGAGCTCGACTCAGGTGTCGCAGAAGTCAAACGTTTTTCGTACGAGTGATGTCACAGAAGCTGGACTGATCTCCCGATAAGCGTTCAAGGACCCGATTCGGGAATGCTCAACTGCAAGAATCACTTTTCGATGTACGAACCGTTTGATGCTGTCCCTTGCCCTGAGCATTCAGATCCGCTTCGACAACACCATCGGCCTAGCAAGCACGCCGCGCTCGGTCTGTCGCTTTCCACTCGAAGGGCATCGCGCATGCTGCGTGCTCGGTTTCAGCTGCGGTAGTCTCGCCCGCGCGACCGGTTCTGCATCTTCCTTGGACGACCTTCTCCACTTGGGTGCATCCTCGCCTGCACCGGTGCAGGGCTAGCAACAACCATGGCGCCGCTCGGCCATGCTGCCAGCGTTCCCAACGTTCCCGGACGCAAGGTCGAAGACCCACAGATCCTCAACTTCCTTCGTGATCATGTTCGCGACCTCTGTCGTCTCAACCACGCCCGTTTCCCAGGCGCCCAGCCGGTCTCGTTCGAGAAGTCATCCATCGACCTCCTGCAGTCCGAGGACTACTGGGTCTGCGAAAAGTCGGATGGGCAACGAGTTCTGATCCTCATTGTCATTCCTTCGTCTACTGGTGTCCAGGAAGTTTTCATGATCGACCGCAAGAACGACTACTACAAGGTGGAGGGCGTCGTCTTTCCGCATCACATGCCCAAGGATCCAGAAGTGGCCCGCGTCAATGGCATGCGCAACCATACGCTCATGGACGGAGAGCTGGTCCTCGATACGGATGCCAGTGGCAAGCAGAAACTCGTGCTGCTGCTCTTCGATCTGATCGTGCTGGACCGTGAGCTTCTCGCCAATCGACCGCTCAGCAAGCGATACGGTCGACTGAAGAGCTTCGTCTATCCTCCCTACGTCGATTACCTCAAACGCAACCCAGCAGCAGCAGCTCGACGCCCTTTTGATGTGCTGGTCAAAAAGATGGACTTGGCCTACGGCATTCAGATGGTACTCTACGAGACCGTGCCCAACCTGCTGCACGGTAACGACGGTCTCATCTTCACCTGCCTCAACAGCGGCTACGTGATGGGCACCGATCCCAAGATTCTCAAGTGGAAGCCGCCAAACGAGAACACGATCGACTTCAAACTCGTCATGCGCTTCCCACCAGATCTGGAACGCGACCCCCGCGGCAACCTTCCGAATCTGTCCGTCATGCCATTCTTCGAGCTGCATCAATATCTTGGCGGCTCCGGAGACGAAGACTACGAGTTCTTCGACGAGCTGTGGGTGGAGCCAGAAGAGTGGAGGCAGATGGTCGAATCCGGCGAGCAGTTCGATGACCGCATCGTCGAATGTGTATGGACGGTTGATACGCAACCTGCGACGGAACCTTACCTCTCGCAGGGACTTTCCCTGCCGCCACGATGGAGGATGATGCGTATTCGAGACGACAAGCATCACGGCAACCATCGATCGATCGTCGAAAAGATCCTCAAGTCGATCCGAGATGGCGTCGAAGCCGACGAGCTCGTCACAGCGGCCCCTGCTATCCGTGCAGCTTGGAAGACGGCAGAGAGGGAGAAACGACGACAAGAGGCAGGACAGGCACCAGCGCCCACTTCAGCATCGTCTCTTCCGGCCTCTAATCGACAGCCTGGTCCTACCCAGACCAACGGGTCAAGGTCATACGACCCATCTTTGCCATTCGGTGGCATGGCTTACCAAGGCATCAAAGGCAAAGCGCCGCCGCTCGTCTCGGGTGGTCCTCCTGGTCTGATTCGGAGGTGATCTTCACGGATTAGCGAAAGGCATCGAAGCTTGCCATTCCTGGGGCCTGAACAGTCCATAGCATCTCTTCACTCCTTTGCATCTCAACTTCACCGTTTTCTGTTGTATTTTTAGCGCCTCCTTTTTCTCCCTCATTTCTCGCAAGGGTTAACTGGCGACACTCATTCGAGGTCGCTCACAAGTCTGGTATGAGTGCTGTTCTGATGATCGCACAACCTCCCATGATTCGAGCACTTCGTCAATGGGAGGCAGAGGATCTCAAAAGCGAGAGGAAGTGAAGCCACGACGTGGGGCTAATTTTCCGATGGCTGAGCACGAGCCAGAAGAGGTCGGCTGCGCTGGACCCTGACCAAGACCCTGACCTCATGACTACGCTCCCGCTCTTTCGACTATCACCTGCGCCACCATCCACTTTCAGTTCACCACGTCACACTCCACATATAGTCCTGACCGACCAAGGGTTCTTCTCGATGGCGATCCTCAAATTCGCGCCCTTCAGCACCAGCATCCACCCAACATTCTGGCAGGAGCTCTCGTCGCTCAAGATCGACAAGCTTCAGCTCAGCGATGAGGCGGTCCAAATCAAGGCCCAGTACACGGCTGGAAAGGTGATTCTCGATCGTCAGACGGGAGCGTCGGTCTCGCTTGGGAGTCAGATCAGCTTGGACGCTGCAAGTCTCCAGCGCTCGGATGCAACGCAGCACTCGGCCAATCAGCCGTCCACATCTGCCATCACAGCTCAGTCATCGTCCGCGATAAGCGCCCGTGGCTTTCTGAAAAACTTCAACACGGTCGAGGCTTTCCGCAATGCCGACAAGCAGGCCATCTTTGACGACACTCTGCAAGACATCTGGAAAAGATTGACAAGCGATGAGGAGGAACCCGAGATCTTTTTGACCACCTTTCTGGCGCTCACGTTCGCGGACCTCAAAAAGTTCAAGTTCTACTACTGGTTTGCCTACCCTGCTCTGGTGACCAACCCGCCATGGGAGATCATCGAGGATGGCAAGGATCCATGGAAGCCGATCTCATCAACACTGGACGCTGCCCGTTGTGGCGTGCTTTCAACTTGGCTTCAGCAGCAGAGTGCAGGGAGAGGCTTCTTCCTCTTCAAGATCTCCAGTGGCACAGATGCTCAGTGCGCCAGGATATCCTCATACGCTGCCTTCTTCGACGGAGTGCCGGAAACCGAACGGTACATCGGCTTTGTGGATCCATCAGGCGCGGTGCAGACCCCTGGCTGGCCATTGCGCAACCTGCTAGCGTACCTACAGGCCCGCTTTGGCGTCGAACACGCTCAAATCATCTGCTGGAAGGACGATCTCGCACAAAGCTCTGGCTCATTGTCGCCTGATCAGTCGAGGAGCGTGGTCGGTCAAGTACGTCTGCCCGCATCACAATCGACCGATGGCGCCTCGACTGCGGGGCTCGAGGTGCAAGGAAGGGCGACGAGGATCACAAGCAAGCCGAACAACCCACAAGAACCGAGTGGCGTCGGCTGGGAACGCAACGTTCAAGGCAAGCTGGCGCCCAAAGTGGCCGATCTCGGACCACTGATGGATCCAAAGAAGCTAGCAGATCAGGCGGTCGATCTCAACCTCAAGCTCATGCGATGGCGGATCATGCCCGAGATCAAGCTCGAGACGATCCAAAGCACACGCTGCCTTCTGCTAGGTGCCGGCACACTAGGCTGCTACGTAGCGCGAGCCTTGCTTGGCTGGGGTGTACGGCAGATCACGCTGGTCGACTCAGCCAAGGTTTCATTTTCGAATCCGGTACGACAGCCGCTGTTCGACTTTGAGGATTGCTTGGAAGGTGGACAGCCCAAGGCCGAGTGTGCTGCAAAGAGGTTGCAGCGCATCTATCCGGGTGTCGAGGCGAAGGGGGTCAGCCTCAGCATTCCCATGCCAGGACATCCGGTCTCGTCCAATATGGAGGAGCAGGCCAAAGCGGATGTAGAAAGGCTGGAGAAGCTGGTGGACGAGCACCATGTGATCTACCTGCTGATGGACTCGAGGGAGAGCAGATGGCTGCCGACGCTGCTGGGTGCTGCAAAGTCGAAGCTGGTCATCAACGCTGCGCTGGGCTTCGACAGCTACCTCGTCATGCGTCACGGTGCTCCCCCGGCATCGACAGACGGCACGGGTGCAGGCAAGGACGCAAGTTCGAGCTGGCACGGTCGTCTGGGCTGCTACTTCTGCAATGATGTGGTGGCGCCATCCGACTCGCTCACCGATCGAACGCTGGACCAGATGTGCACGGTGACAAGGCCTGGTCTAGCTGCCATCGCGGGCGCGTCCGCCGTCGAACTGATGGTTTCTGTGCTGCAGCACGATCTTGGAGTCCATGCACCCGCCACCGCCGGCGAAACATCGAAGCAGAGCGTGGAAGATGCGCAGGCGATCGCAGACGCAAGCACCGTTCTCGGCATTGTCCCACACCAGCTTCGCGGCTTTCTAGCGCAGTTCAACACGCTGCGAGTGGTGGGCCAGGCGTACGACCGCTGTACCGGCTGCAGCGCCTCCGTGGTGGAAGCATACCGCTCGATAGGCTTCGAGATGCTGCTAAAGGCGTTCAACGAGGACAAGTATCTGGAGCAGCTGACGGGTCTCGATCAGATGTATAAGGAGGCGGAAGAGCTGGAGGCTGCGGTAGATTGGGATGTCGAGGATGACGAGGAGGACGGCTTCTGAGCGGCTTGCGAAAGAGAAAGTTGACTGTGTTGTTCAACAGAATTGCAAAAGGCGGGAGGATAGTAATACACTGCGGTCGAATCGAAAGAGATGCAAAGACGTGAAAAGATGCTGTTGGGAGCGTGACAGGGCGCTCAGTTGTTCTGGCTGAACTTATATCCGCACTTGGGGCAGTCGTAGAAGACGGTTGTGCCTTCGTCTGCAGAGCGAAGCTGGAGGGTGTGGAAGTTCATCTCGTCGTTGCCGCACCCGGGGCATTTCTCCTTGATGGTGGCTTCCTGTGGCTTCTGGTCGTCGCCGAGGGCAGCTGCTGTGTTGACGAGTTGACGCTTCTGTCGGAGTGCTGATGGGAATGCTGATGCGTGAGAGCGGGTGACGATGGAGAGGTTGTCGTACACTTTTGCATTCTGAACGGCACCGCAGGGAGCGCACTTGATGAAATCCTCGTCGCCGGGGACGTCGAGCAACGAACCGCAGTTGGGGCAGAACAGTAGCGAGCCGATCTTGTCTGTTGAGGCAGAGAGGCGATCCACACGTTTGACTGTCAGCAAAGAGCCATCGGAGCGAGCGGAAAGAGTCCGGTCTGATACACACCTGGAAGCGCCGACATCTTGAAAGAAGCAGGATGAGGAGCAGGATGAAGAAGGTAAGGATTCATTGATGTCGTCCAGCAGGAAGACTTGGACAAAAAAGTTCAACTTGAACCTCGGAAGTCGGAGCTCCCCACTTTTTTCGACCCTGAACTTTTTTGCAAGAGCAGCTCAGTCAAGCAAAATTTCATCTTAGGACGGTGGAGGACAGGCAACGCAAAAAGTTTAGGAAGAACCGAAACATCTTTGAAAGGGTTCTACGGATCATCCGCTTTGGCTGAGTCTCGTCAACATCATCTGACATAGCCATCGGACCGATCACGACGTCACATCCCCATCGCATCAGCAGCATATCAGCGGGAAGAACGAGCCTGACTATCCAAGGTCATACACTTGCTACATCGCGCGCTTTCCGACAGGTGATTCTTCGGAACGCTGGTCAACTTTGCCAGCTTCTCTACACCATCGCATGACCGGCACTTCCCATTGCTCATAGAAAGCAGGCTCTTTGCCATCGGCGACGAAAAAGATGGGTCTCGTCATCTTTGCGTCAACAGGTACCTCCCAGGGCGAGGCATCGACCAGCCCAGCACGGCGCTCAGCACTGCACCTCGACCTTAACACCAGCTGCACCGTGTTGCTAGATGAGCTGGCAGACCAGCCCGAGGCCGTGTCGATACTGCAGGATGCTATCGCAGTACTCAAAACTGGCGGCGAAGCGGTATCACCTACGCTCGACAGCCTCTCGAAGCTGCTCTTGTTTCCAACTTGCGCTCTGCCCGTTGCGTCCCAGCTCCGACCTATACTCTTGGATCTGTACATCCGCAGCGTCAGACAAGCCCAAGCCTCAGACAGCACGGAAGCCCTCCTGAGGGCGCTGCACGCTTCTGCCATCCTGGTCGGCATCTTCCCTCACGACATCTTCGAGCCGCTCAAGCGATTCACCCAACAAGCCAGCTTCCTTGCCTTGCTCCAGTACCTCCCGACAGCGCAAGCACACGTGCAGCATCAAGCGCTCTTGGATCTCTGCAGGATCGTTGCAGCGGCGCCAAATGCGCTAACTGGCGAGATTGGACAATATTTCGCCCTATGGGCTCACCGCGTTACTCTCTCCTCGGATGCTTCGGTTCGGCTCCCAACACGGTTGTTGGCTCTTCACTTCTTCGCCCTGCAGCAGGGCATCAGCGAGGAAGGACGCCTTCAATTGACGCACAAGTGCATCGGTGCAGTCTCTGTCGGCTCGTCCGATCTGTACAGTCACGACGCTATGGCTGCTCTCGTCTTCGAACCGGCTGGAGTCAACGCATGGACCATCGAGGTGGAAGAGTTCTCGCGCATCCAACGCGCTCGCGCTTCGGTCACATCCCGCGCTGTAGCATTCCTGCCATCGCATGATGAAGCGAAGGGCTCAGAGAGCAAAGGGGTGACTCTCTCTCCTGACGCGCTCTCTTCCGAGGTATGCTGCGTTGGTGGTGTGTTGCTTGCACGCTCCCCGCAGAGCATCACGCTCGACGACTCAATATCACCGGAGGATCGCTTCATCGAAACCGCAGGCGTCACTCCTTCGTTGAGCGAGCTCGCCCTTCGCCTCAGCCTCAACTATCCCATCTTGCTCTCTGGTCCAGCCTCCAGCGGCAAGTCGAGCTTGATTCGACATCTCTCTCAGCTGCTCAAGGGTGCAGAATCAGCCTCGACGGCAAGCCACCTCCTGTCCATTCAGCTCGGCGACCAGTCTGGTATCGACGCAAAGCAGCTCCTCGGCTCTTTCGTCTCGAGTCCCACAGAGCCAGGAAAATTCGAATGGACCGAAGGCGCACTCACACGCGCCGTGCGTCAAGGCAAATGGGTCGTCCTGGAAGATATCGACAAGGCAGGATCCGAGGTCCTCAGCACCGTAGCCAGACTCGTCGAGCAGCTGGGCCCAACGAAGGCACCCGGCACTCGCACCACCATCGATCTCGGCACTCGTGGCAAAATCGCGGCAGGTGACGGATTCGCTCTATTCGCCACACGCTCCATCACATCCTCAGTCAGGAACGCAGCTTCTCCTTCCAGCGCCACCTTTCTCGGCAGCTCGCACTGGTCGGAAGTCGTCATCGACTCACCAACTCAAAAGGATGTCGACAGCATTCTGAGGAACAAGTTTCCTCGTCTCGCACATCAGCAGTCTCGCTTCGTCGATCGCTTGGTCGCTACTTGGTACAAACTTCAACGCGCCACACAACCTTCAGCCGCGACTTCGCATCCAAGCACCAAGGTCTCGGTCAGCACGGCCGGAAGCGTCCGCACTGCGACCTTGCGCGATCTCATCAAGTGGTGTCGCCGTGTCGAGCGTCTCCTCTCTTTGGACCTCGAGACGCTCTCTGATCCGCTCAACAACCCCGTGCAGCAGGAAGAGATCTTCATCGAGGCTTGTGACATCTTTCTCGGCTCCGTGCCAGAGGCCCAGAACATGTCACAAACTTCAGCTGCGGGCGCCTCCCAGACCCCGAAGGTAGTCAATGGCAAAAGCGCGGACCGCTACAGCGCACTCGTGGAGCTGCTCGCAGAAGAGCTCGGCTTGACCGGCGAGAGAGCATGGTGGGCACTCAAGCAACGCCTTCCAGAGCTCTCCGTTCGGTCGTCAGAGTCCGTCCCAAATCCTTCGTTGGACGCTGGCTCCAGTCTCATTCGCGTCGGGCGCTGCGAGCTGTCGCGTCGTCGCTCCAAAGCTACAGCGAAACGCGCCGCGCCGGTCTCGAGAAAGTTTGCCATGACCAAACCATCTCTGCTTCTGCTCGAGAGGCTGACAGTGGCCACCGCTCTGGCTGAGCCTGTACTCCTCGTCGGCGAAACAGGCACGGGAAAGACAACGGTGGTCCAGCATCTGGCTTCGCTCCTTGGTCAACCCATGACAGCGCTCAACCTCAGCCAACAGACAGAAAGCGGTGACTTGCTAGGAGCTTTCAAGCCGCTCGATCCCAAGATTCCAGCCACCGAATTGCACGACCAGTGGAGCTCACTCTTCGCTCGCACCTTCTCATCTCGTCGCAATGCTCGCTTCGTCGACGCCGAGCGCAAAGCTTTTGTCTCGGGCAAGTGGTCGCGCCTAGCCCAGCTCTGGCGCGAATCGGCCAAGATGGCGTCGCAACGGAAGAAGGAGTCCGCCAAGAAGGACGCTGACATCACCACCGCTGACACGAACGGCCGCTCGGACTCTGGCTCGAGAAAGAAGCGCAAGACAGAGCAAGGTGCAACGGAAGGATCGTCGGCTGATGTCGACGACGCACGCGCAGAGGCGGACCTTGATCGAGAATGGGTCGAGCTCGACGCAAAGGCACGGGATTTTGGCCTGCAGCATGGCAGCAAGAAGAAGAATCTCGTCTTTTCATTCGTCGAAGGGCCTCTGGTCAAGGCGCTTCGCCAAGGTGACTGGATCTTGCTCGATGAGATCAATCTGGCCGCTGCCGAGACGCTCGACAGTCTCACGGGTCTTCTGCAATCCCCGACATCCAGCATCACCCTCACGGAACGTGGCGACCTGGAGCCCATTCCCAGGCATCCCAACTTCCGTCTCTTCGCATGCATGAACCCTGCCACTGACGTTGGCAAGAAGGATCTTCCAGCGAGTCTGAGGTCGCGCTTCACCGAGCTGTACGTGCCAAGCCCTGACGCGGACCGCGACGCCCTCACAGCTATCGTGGAGAAGTACATCGGCGAGCATGCTCTTGGCGATCGAGGTGCCGTTATGGACGTGGCCGAGTGTTATGCCGAGATTCGACGTCTGGCGCAGCAGCACCAACTCGCAGACGGCGCCAACCAGCGACCTCACTTTTCCATTCGAACGCTGTCCCGCGCCTTGACCTTTGCCACCGACATTGCACCACAGTACGGCCTGCGTCGTAGTCTCTGGGAAGGCTTCATCATGGCTTTCACGCTCTTGCTTGACGATGCAAGCGCGAGGGTGGTGCGGGCCATCATCGAGCGACACACCCTCACCAAGGCTAAGAACGCCCGCGCCATCGCCACCTTCGTCCCTCCTGCACGTAAGGGCACGGATGACGGCGACTTTGTTCAAGTCGGTCCATTCTGGCTGCCAACAGGACCTGCGCCGCTCGACCCTGCCGAAGATTACATTCTCACGCCTTCCGTGCAGAGCAAGCTCGTTGGCCTCTCACGAGCGGCTTTGACGCGCCGCTTCCCCGTCCTCATTCAAGGACCAACATCAGCGGGCAAGACGAGTGCCGTTGAGTTCCTGGCTCGACGCACCGGCCATCGTTTCGTTCGCATCAACAATCACGAGCACACCGACATTCAGGAGTACATTGGCTCTTACGCATCGGATCCTGACTCGGGCAAACTGAGCTTCCAGGAAGGCCTCCTCGTCAAGGCTTTGCGAAGGGGAGACTGGATCGTCCTGGACGAGCTCAACTTGGCGCCCACCGACGTACTCGAGGCTCTCAACCGTCTCCTCGATGATAACCGCGAATTGGTCATTCCCGAAACCGGCGAAGTCGTCAAGCCTCATCCGCACTTCATGCTCTTCGCCACGCAGAATCCTCCTGGTCTCTATGCCGGGCGCAAGGTCCTCAGTCGCGCCTTCCGAAACCGATTCCTGGAGATCCATTTCGATGACGTCCCTCGAGCCGAGCTTGAGACGATCTTGACCAATCGATGCAAGATCGCTCCGTCTTACTCTTCGCGCATCGTCGGCGTCTTCGAGGAGCTGCAGAAACGTCGTCAGGCTGGCCGTGTCTTTGAGACCAAGCAGGCCTTTGTGACGCTGCGTGACCTGTTCCGCTGGGGTAATCGCGAGGCCGTGGGCTACCAGCAGCTTGCAGAGAATGGCTACATGCTCATTGCAGAGCGAGCGCGTCGTCCCGACGACAAAGAGACCGTCAAGGAGGTCATCGAGAAAATCATGCGTGTCAAGCTCGACGTCGATCGCATGTATCTGCTTGAGGGCCCGGAGAGTGAAGCCACGCTGGCGCGTATCGGCCAAGGACTTGGCAACTCTATCCTCAAGACGTTGTCCAACACGAGCATCGTCAGAACGTCCGCCTTCCAGCGATTGCTGTGCCTTGTCGCCACGAGTCTGCGATACAACGAGCCGGTGCTCCTCGTCGGAGAGACAGGTGCAGGCAAGACATCCGTCTGCGAAGTGCTGGCACTTGCTTTCGGCCGCGAGCTGCACTGCGTCAACTGTCACCAGAACACCGATACGGCGGATTTGCTCGGTGGTCAGCGTCCTCTGCGCAACCGAGCCGCCCTGCAGAACTCGGCAAAGATTGCCTGCATCGAGGCCCTTGATGCCCTGCAGATCGCGCACGAGCTGACCCCAGAGAGCAAGCTCGAGGATGTGTCCTCCTTCACCGAGTCGTTTCTTGCGAAAGAGGCCCGGCAGCTCACCGCGCTTCCGGAGGCGCAGAAGGACGAAGCTCGACAAGCGCTGCAAGATGCACTGCGCGCTGTGTATCAAGCAACGGCTCTGTTCGAATGGCAGGACGGACCGCTTGTCCAAGCGATGCGCGCCGGCGATCACATCTTGCTTGACGAGATTTCTCTCGCCGACGATAGCGTGCTGGAGCGTCTCAACAGTGTTCTCGAACCTGCAAGGACGCTGGTCCTGGCTGAGCGAGCGACTTCGTCCAGCCAGCTGAACTCGGAGTCGGATCTGTCGGCGTCGCAGATCACAGGCGCGGACGGCTTCCAAGTCCTCGCCACCATGAATCCTGGCGGTGACTACGGCAAAAAGGAGTTGTCGCCCGCTTTGCGCAACCGCTTCACTGAAATCTGGGTCCCTCATGTCGATATCCGTGCCGATCTGATTCAGATCATCAACGCACAGTGGAAAGACGCGAGTCTGTCGGCATGGACGGAGCCCATCATCGATTTCTCGGATTGGTTCATCCATCAGATTGGCGGTCGCGACCAGTCTGGTCTCGGTTTGCGCGACCTTCTCACATGGGCTTCTTTCATGAACGAGCTTGCCGTCAACGACCTCCTCGATCTGGCTTTGGCTTTTGCTCATGGCGCGTCTCTGACCATCATCGATGGTCTTGGGGCTTTGCCCGCGACAGCCGCCATGACAGCAGCAGGACTAAGTCAGCTGCGCGACCGCTGCCTCACTAAGGTAGCAGAGCTGATTGCGCCGCAAGAGTACGACCCCAAGCTGTCCAGCCTGTTCGAGGTGGAAGTCTCAGACGAGCGACTTCGCATCGGTCCCTTCATGATCTCTCGAGGAAGTCTGGGACTGGCTTCACAAGCGTCGTCTTTCAGCTTCGGAGCCAAGACATCTGCATCCAACGCAATGCGAGTCCTCCGAGCGCTTTCGGTGCCAGGCAAGTCGGTGCTGCTTGAAGGCAGTCCGGGAGCAGGCAAGACGAGTCTGATCACTGCTCTTGCTGCGGGAGCTGGTCGTCCGCTCACGCGTATCAACTTGTCCGATCAGACCGAGCTCGTGGATCTGTTTGGCTCCGACATGCCACTGGAAGGTGGTGGTCCTGGCGAGTTTGCCTGGCGCGATGCCGCCTTCTTGACGGCCATGCAGCAAGGCGAATGGGTTTTGCTCGACGAGATGAATCTCGCGTCGCAGACCGTGCTCGAGGGTCTCAATTCGTGTCTCGACCATCGTGGAACCGTCTACGTCCCCGAACTCGGGCGCTCCTTCACCAAGCATCCGAACTTCCGCATCTTTGCGGCTCAGAACCCTCATCATCAGGGCGGCGGGAGGAAGGGTCTTCCGAAGTCATTCCTCAACCGATTCATCAAGGTGCACATCGAGGAGCTCACCGGCGATGACATTCTTGCCATCAGCTCGCATCTATATCCCAACTTCGACGTCGATCGGCTGCAACAGATGATCCGTTTCAACTTCGAGCTTCACCACGAAGTTGTCGTCAGGCACTCCTTTGGCCGGATCGGAGCGCCTTGGGAGTTCAATCTGCGGGATCTCATGCGATGGCTCGACCTGCTGCACACCGATCTCGGTCTGAACAAGCTGGGCGATCCGATCGAGCATCTTGCTTCGCTCTACGTCCTGCGCTTCCGCACTCCTGCTGATCGCCAAGCAGCTCGCGAGCTGTATCGCAAAGCCTTTGGCGTCAGCTCGCACATCGACTCGCACATTGTGCCGACGCTCACGCCCAGCCAGGTGCGAATCGGACATGCAGTGATGCAGCGCAAGCCGTCGCTCAGTGCGGACAAGCAACGTCTCGTGCTGCTTCCCGGCCAGTTGCCCGCTCTTGAGGCTCTGATCGACTGCGTGCACAAAGAGTGGCTGGCTATTCTAGTTGGCCCCACAGGCAGCGCCAAGACGAGCATCGTGCGACTGCTGGCCCAACTGGCAGGTGCGCGTCTGGAGGAGTTCCACATGAACTCAGGCACCGACACCATGGACCTGATTGGCACGTTCGAACAGTACGACCCCCTCGCTCGATCTCGCCACGTTCTCAGCACCCTGTTGCTCGAGATGCAGCGATGCTCCGAAGCCGTCGCTTCTCACAACACGGATCGATTTGCTGCTTTCACGGCCGCTCGCAACGTGCTTGAAGCTGTGACGCAGACTTCTGGAGCGGCTGTACTCCCCGAGAGCCTGTCTCAGGCCATTGAGGCAGTGCAAGCTGCCGCCGGCCCGGTCGGCGGCGAAAGCCTGAATGCTGCTATCGAAGAAGCATTGGCAGTGGCGACGCAAATGGCGCAGAGCTCGGCAGACACGCAGAAGGCCACTGGAAGGTTCGAATGGATCGACGGACCGTTGCTCCGTGCGCTCCAAGAGGGCCACTGGCTCATGCTCGACAACGCCAATCTCTGCTCCGCATCGGTGCTCGACCGGCTCAACTCGCTCTTCGAAGTCAATGGCTCCTTGGTCATCAGCGAGCGCGGCGTCGTGGACGGCAAGGTGCCAGTGGTGCGACCTCATCCCAACTTCCGTGTCTTCATGTGCCTGGACCCAAGGCACGGAGAGCTGTCACGAGCCATGCGCAACCGTGGCATCGAGATTGCTCTCCTGCCACAGCAGAAGGCAGCGTCGAGCGATGTCGAGAGACTCACGCAGCTCTGTGGTGGCGGTTCCACTTCGGCCGCTGTCACATCGGCTCCCGCCCAAAGGGTGCTCATGGACGTATCGCTGCATGCTCAGATGCTGCAGCGTGGCCTCAACGAGAGCGATGCGCTGGAGGCTGGCGAGATGCTCGTAGCTCAGCACCGAGACGCGGCAATTTGGACCTCCAGTCAGTTGACGCTCACCAACTCGTCGCTGGCATCTTCCGCCCTACCTCTGTACCTCACAGAAGGCGAAGAGCGCGCGTCCGAGGCGGCAGCATCTCTGCTAGTCCGTCTAAGCCCTCCAAAGGCCTTGATGCTGACACGACAGGTGATGGCCAGATCCTCGCCCTCGGTCTCGAACGACACGTCCGCACTGCTGCAGGAACTTGTGTCGTCACCCGCACTCCTGCTTTCGTCGATGCAGGTGTTGCAGCACTGCTTGGTCGACACGCAACGCATCTCGCTGGGGCTGGCGGATCACTTCGCTCTCGATCTCCGCTACGACGACAATGTGTTTCAACTGTTGGAAGCGCAAGGCGTACCGTCCCAAGCAGTGCACGTTCTGTTGGCTGCCATGCTTCAACGAATCGGAGCTCAAAAGATTATCGAAGGAGCGTCCGCCAAACGAGCCCAAGACCTCAGCATCCTGGAAGGCTCGGCAAGGCTCAGCAGCACCGCCATGGTGCATGACGAAGACCAGGCTACCACCGCCGTGCGCAATGTCTTCCCGTTGATCATCGCAGTGCACAGAATGGTTCTTGCTGCCATGCAGGGCGGACGCTCGGCAATTTTGCCCGCTTCAGCGCTGCGCCAAGTTGCTCTCCTTCTGCGTTCTGCAGAGTATATGCAAAGTCTTTGCACGTCCACGGAGCTTGACTTTTCTTCCATCCAGATCCTCGTGCGGTTCATGTCGGATCTGCTGCGGGAGATCAGCGCGGCTGGAGTCGAGAGCGACGCCAACCTGGTCGAGACCATCGACTTGCTTGGCGGCTCTCTCCAGCTGACCTCGGGTAAGGCTCTCTTCCCCATCTGGTCTCTTCTCGGCGCGGACGAAGGTATGCAGACCAATCTTTACCGACTCATTTGCGACGAAGCGATGTCACTCCCGACAGGCGTTGCCGGAGATCTGCTCAAGAACGCTCTCGATGTGGCCGCCACTCTGTGCGCAGCAGGCAAGCAGTCGGCTGCGTCTTCCGAGCTGAGGGACTTGATGCAGCTCGGATGGCAGACGTTGAAGCTGCTCCGATCAGCCGGCCATAAAGCTGCTCAAGGTCCAGATCAGCATGCTGCTGGTACCACCACGACGGACAGGGCAGAGGCTACGCTTCTGAACCTGGCGGAAGTGTCGACCAAGACGCACGACCTTTTCAGTGGAGCACAAGCGTCCAGGATGAAGCTCATCGTTCATCTGCTCGAGGCCCATGCGTCGCCGTCCATGCAGGCGGCTGCTGCGCCGTTCAAAGCGGCCTTGTGGGCTTCGGACCACGGCTCTGAACCTTCTAAAGCGCTGCTCGCCGACTTCTCCTGGATGCGACGTCTCTGGCCAGTCGAAGTAGGCCAGACTTCGACAAGCGATGGGCCTGCTATCCTCTTGCGACCTTCTGCCTTGCAGACGTTGCTCGGGTCACGCTTCGGAACCAGATCGCTTCTGGAGAAGTCGCTTCACGATGCATCGGTCGGCCGCATGATCAAGAGCGTTGGCGCCGCCTTGCCGGCAAGCTCAGCATCTCGCGCAGACAAGCTCGTGGGCGCCTTGGTGCGCTTCGTCTGCATTGTCTCCGAGACGCTGTACACCGCTGCTCTGAAGGACTTGCCGGAGCACGACCTTCCCACGGCCAAGCGCATGCAAAGTCTGGAAGAGTGCAGCACAGTACTCAAGAGAGTGCTCGGAGGTACACAACGTCTCGCTGACAGCACCGCTGCTGCACTCACGGACTGGCTCGTCGTTCTTGAAGGCGATTTGCTACCCGCCCTGTCGAACCCCAACGGAGGACAAGACGCACAGCTACTAGGACGCGCTTGGATCTCGGTCGCTCTGATCATGCTGCAGCTCTACCTGCCCAATGTTGCACTCGACCCGATCGTCGCTCGCCGCACCATGGCCGAATTTGGGGACTTCTGCCGCGTCCAACTCGAAAGCGCCATGGGACTCGAGATCTACGCAGAGTCGATCGTCACGGGTGGGACCGAGAACCGAGTCATCCGCGACTTGCGAGCTCAGATCGACGAGACCAGAGTGCAGCTCAAGACGCAAGGTGGTGACCGCGCTCAAGCGTGGCGCAAGCCCAACCTCAAGCTCCTGTCGCAATTTTACCGCGAGACGTCGTCGTTCTTGCGCGAAGTCGTGACCGCCGAGCGAGTGGCCGATCTTGTCCGTGCCTTGACGGACGAACCATCCGAGCAGGCAGAGCAGCGAGAGGCGAGCTTGCAAGCCAGCGTGCTATCGTTCGGCGATCGACTCCGCAAGACATTTGCCGAGCTCCGTGACATGGTGGAGCCCATCATTGCGTCGCTGTTGCAGCTGCAGATGGGTCTGCGTTTGGTGCGACAGGCTGCACGCATCGCGTCTGCCCCTGTAGATGTCCAGCAGCGTGGCACTATCGTCGAGGCATTGGTCACCTTCCCGACCGCACACAGCTCGATCTTGCTCCGTCAGGCAGATTTCACGGGTCAGCTGCAAGCGCGTTCCGACATCTCCGCCTCGCTTCTCATCGCCTCTACAACATCGGTCGCGTACGACCACGCGAGTCTGGGCGTAAATGTGCTCGAAAGTCCAGACACGCTGCGCAACATCAGCCGCAGCTACGAGAGGATCTTCCAGCTGTGGGCGCTCGACCGGGAGCGAGCAAAGCGCGAAGAGGAAGAAGCGGTCAGCTTGTACAAGTCGCGCAAGATCGAAGAGTCGATCGAGATGGATGCCGAGGCAGAGGAGAAGGAGTTCCACGCCCTGTTCCCAGAGTACGACGACGATGTTCTGGACGGCCCACGACCCGTTGCTGGTGCCAACGGCCAAGAACAGTCGAAGCACAAGGGAATGCTGCTGCCTCCGCCACGCTTTGCAACCGTCTTGAGCGCCCACCTGGCCATCTTTGGACCGCCATCGCGCAAGGCTGCCGCCGATCTGTACCAGCAAGAGCGCGACAGTCTCGTGACCAAGCTCGTGCGCAAGCACCACGAGGACTGGCCCGAGGCCATAGACCAAGTCGGCGCTGCTTTCGGTCTTTCAGCAGCCATCGACGATCAGCTCGCATCGAGCCAGACAGCAAAGGACTTCAACTTCTACCTGGACGCCCGACCGGCTGAGGTCCGAAAGGCGACGGCAATCATCGAGGAGCTGCGAACCCGACTTGGCGTTCTGATCCAAGAATGGCCCGAGCAGATGGTCTTGCAGCACATCCGCGATCGTTGTGATGCTATGCTGCGTCTCGATGCTGCGAGTCCTGTGGCCAAGATGCTGAGTGCGCTCGAGCAGCTGCTCACGCACACCGAGGACTGGGAGGGCTTTGCGAGCTCGCAGACGTCCATCCAGGCAAACCGAGAGCGCATCTCGGCTCAGATCATCGAGTGGAGGCGACTGGAGCTGTCATGCTGGGCCGAGCTGCTCAACACGCAGGCACGCAACTTCGAGAACGAGCTTGGAGAGTGGTGGTTCCGCGTGTACGAGATTCTCATCCGCGGCACTCGAGCTGCTTCCGCCGACGGTGCTGAATCGTTCAAGAGCCACGTCGAACAGCTCATCGATGCTGTTGATCAGTTCGTCCGCTCCAGCCCGCTGGGTCAATTCGAGTCGCGTCTGTCGCTCCTCGAGTCGTATGGTCGCTTCATCGACCACCTTGTCCGCTTGGCACCACCCAAGGAGAGCCAAGGTCTCAAGGAAGTCGGTATGGTCTTGCAGAACGTCACTACGTTCTTCCGTCAATTCGACGAACGCATCTCTGGCACCCTGCAGAGTCAACGAGCGGTGCTGGAGAAGGACATCAGGAGCTTCATCAAGCTGGCCAGCTGGAAGGACATTAACATCCATGCGCTGAAGCAGTCGGCACAGAAGACGCATCGACAGCTGCACAAGACGCTGCGCAAGTTCCGCGACATCCTTCGTCAGCCGGTGGATCCCATGCTGGCGTCGCATCTCGATGCTCTCACGCGACGAGAGATTCCGTCGTTGCACATCGAGTCGCGCAGTCTCCGAAACGGGCTCGACATCAGCGAGGAGTCGAGCGAAGCTTGGGCCCAGGCCGTCTCGTTTGCTAGCCTCAATAAGGCTGCACCAGAGCACATCAGAAACGTCGCAAAAACCCTTGCCGTGCTTCAGAAGATGGCAGACGACCGGCTGTGGCCCACCTTGCTTCGACCCACCACCTCAGCAGCCGGAGTGGCCGAGCTGGCCGACGAGATCGTCGACCGCCAGCAGCAGCTTGCCAAGCTCACACCAGCCTTCTCCAAGGAGGACAACGAAAAGTCGATAAAGAATCTCACCGCACGCAAGCGCAAAGCGTGGTCCGACTTGCTGAAGGAGCTCCGCCGCATCGGCCTCAGCTCGTTCGTCAAGACGGATATGGCTGCGATGAACCAGAGCGTGATGCACATCTACACGCGGCCTGCACTTCTCGCGGCCTGCCCTGCTTCGCTGTCGGAGGAGCCGTTCTCGACACTGGAGAGGCTGTTCTTCCGCCTGCTCGCCGCGCTGCCCAAGGTGCGCGACTCGTTGCAGAGCCACAGTCCGGACCTGTCGACGTCGGAGCTGCAGCGCGGCATCAACTACATCGAGCACATCACACATCTCGTGCTTCAGGAGCGCGATCGCATGTTCGACGAGCTGCGGTCGTTGGCGACGCTCGAACAGCTCACAGGCCGAATGCGAGATCTGCACGCCGCAAAGCTGGGCGCAGCCACGAGGGCTTCCAGAGCGACGCCATTCCGGGCGCTCGCCGACTTCCTCGCTCGTCTAGCAAACGCGCTGGACGAGATCAAGACGCAAGCGCCCAAGTTCCTCGCTACTTCCGCGTTCCCAGCGGTGCTTGGCGAGACGCTCACCGGACGCCTGCCCGCGCTCGTTGTCGAACTCACCAAGGCAGCCTCGCATCTCGAGAAGATCGCCAAGACTGCTCTCGCTCAAGACAAAGACGGTCTCTTCTTCCTCACAGAGCAAGACTGCTCGGCCATCGACGCAGCTCGCAAACTCGTCGGCGATCTGGAGCGAGACCTGCACGACCATGTGCAGATCCTCCCTGCGCTGGAGTCGCTCCTGCACCCTGTATGGAAGTGGACAGCCGACAGTCTTCCGCTGTTCGAGCGATGTCTCGCCACTCTGGACGCGCCTTTGAAGGGCGCCGCGATACCGGAGGATCTGGTGCAGCAGGCAGGCACCGTCATCTCGGCCGTCCTGCAGGTTGCGCAAGACGTCCGTCGATCTGGCGCCTCGTCCTCTGCATCCACTGCAGAGGCTTCGGCCGACAGTCTTTCCGACAAGATCGTCACGACAGAGCTGCAGACACTCCAGACGCAGCAAGCGATGCTGCGCACTTCGTCGGTGCTCGCCGAAGTCTCGAAGTTTCTCTTGCTTGCTCAGCAGCTGCCCCGCACACCTGACTCGGAGACACTTGTCCAGGTCCAGCTCACGACCGTCTACCCGTTCCTGCACGAATACTCGGAGCTTCTCCGGGCGCACCTGCTTTCGTCGGCTCATTTCTCTCGCAGCCTGCTCAAGCTCGACCACACACTGTGTCACCTGATGACGGCGTTGGCGAGCAAAGGGTTCTGCAAGCCGCCCGAGGAGTCGACCGACGATGCCGAAGGCGGCGAGGACGGAGAGCAGCTCGAGGGCGGTACCGGCTTGGCGGACGGGAGCGGCGCAAAGGACATCACGGACCAGATGGAGGACGAGGACGAGATCGAGGAGCTCCAGAAGGACGATCCGGCGGACGAAGGGGAGGAGGGAGACAAGACGGAGCGCGAGAAGAACGCCAAGGAGGCCGACCAGGTGGATGGCGAGATGGAGGACGTCAGTGCTGACGAGGGAGATGGAAGCGATCAGGAGGAAGGAGAGGACGGAGAGCAGCCGGAGGATGCGGTAGGTGATGTTGACCCGCTCGATCCGAATGCGGTGGATGAGAAGGTGTGGGATGGAAATGACGAGGATGAAGACGACAAAAAGGATGCACCAGAGGACCAGACGAACAAGGACCTCGGTGCGAACGATGCCGATGGCAAAGACGCCGACTCTGTGCCGAAAGCGGATGATGCGGCGGCGGCCGATGACAAGCAGCAAGAGCGCCCCTCTGACGGCGCCCGCGACGAGCAGCAACAGGCTGACAAGAAGCAAGATCAGACCGACGCCGACGCGGATCAACAAGAAGGCGCGGAGGACCAAGACACATCCGAGCCCGAAGAGCGCGAAGGCGAAGAGGGCGAGGGTGCTGAAGAGGAGGAGAACGACGAAGCCGAGGTGCAGGGCGAGGGTGGCGGACGCCAGCTCGACCAGGAAGCCGAGCAAGGCGAGAACCTCGACCTCGACGAAGACCTCAACATGGACGGTAGCGACGCCGACAGCAACGGCGACCGAGACGACGACGAAGACGGTCTGGACGATCTCAGCGATATCGAGCAGATGCCTGACGATCGACGAGAAGACAAGGTCGACGACAAGGGGATGGACGATCTCATGGACGACCAGCCCGACGCATCCACCGAGGACAACAAACAGGCCGAAGAGACTGCCGAGGGTGAAGCAGCCGAGGAGGAGCCTGAGGACAACACCAAGGTGGACAAAGATGAAGGCGAGGACGCAATGGACGAGGATGGCGAGGAAGACGGGCCCGAGGTGGACTCCAAGCAGGATCGAACTGCGCAGGAAGATTCCGCTGGAGGCCAACAAGACCAGCTCGATCCTTTCGACATCGACGCCGTCGATCAAGGCGCCGATCAAGGTGGTCAAGATGAATCAGCTACCCAACAGCAATCCTCGCGCTCGCAACGAGGCCGCCGCGTCGATGCCAGCAAAGACCAATCGCAAGCCGATCAAGGCCTGGACGTCGACGATGCAGCCGACTCGGCACCGCAAGAGCAGGCAGACCAGCCACCCCCAGCAGGCCAACAAGGCGCCCGTGCGCCCCAGGCCGAGCGAGACGAAATCGCCGGCGACGCCGACCAAGAAGGTGAGGCGGAAGCCGATCCCAATCCGCTTCGTCGAATGGGTGATGCGCTCGAGCAGTTCCGACGCAAGATGCAGGAAATCCAAAAGGCTCAGCAGGAAGAAGAGCAGGTTTCTGGTGATAAGGCCGAACACGACGGTGAAGGTCTGCCGGAGGACACGGACGTCGAGCACGTCGCCAACGACGACGATGCCGAGATGCAAGCGCTGGGAGCTGCCCAGGAGCAAGACGAGGTCCGCAAGCTCGGAGACCTCGGCATCGAAGACGAGGACGAGTCGCTCGGCGCCAAGCCCCGCGGGCAGGACGTCAACGAGCAAGAGGAGGCGGAGCAGCGAGAGCCTCAGCCTCTTCCCGATCAGCCTGTCAAGGAGGAACAGAAGCAGACCGCCGATGGCCTGCAGAAGGCGTTCATGCCTTCGGACCTCAAAGCGTCTTCCTCTTTGACTGCGGAGCAGGAAGCGTTGCTCGACCGAGACGGCGATGCCAACATGGCTGACGAGCTCGATGTCAAGAAGGAAGACTCCGACGAGGAGGCCATGACTCCTCTACCGGATGACGTCCGACGCGAGGCAGACGACGAAGTGCAAGCCGAACTCGAAGCGTTCCGCACCGCCTCCTCGGAAGAGCGTCTCGCGCGGGCAGGCGATCTCTGGCGCTCGTACGCCTCCCTCACAGCCGACCTCGCCTTCTCCCTGTGCGAGCAGCTCCGTCTGATCCTCGCCCCCACCCTCGCCACGCGCCTCAACGGCGACTTCCGCACAGGCAAACGGCTCAACATGCGCAAGATCGTGCCCTTCATCGCGTCCGATTTCGCCAAGGACAAGATCTGGCTGCGACGCACCAAACCCTCTTCGCGCGAGTATCAGGTCATGCTCGCTATCGACGATAGTAGGAGTATGGCCGAGTCGCGGAGTGCGCACCTGGCATACCAGACGCTGGCGCTGGTGACGGGTGCGTTGAGTCGGCTGGAGGTGGGTGATGTCTCGATCTGCCGGTTCGGCGAGGATGTTGATAGTCTGCATGACTTTGGGAGGGGGAGCTTTAGTGATCAGAACGGCGCGCATGTGATCGATCGGTTGGGGTTCACGCAGAGGAAGACGAATGTGCTGCGGCTGGTGGAGAAGAGTTTGGAAGTGTTGGGCGAGGCGAGGGCGAGCCGGTCGTCGTCGAGCGCCAGCCAGGGAGGCGACCTTTGGCAGCTCGAGATCATCATCTCGGACGGCATCTGTCAGGATCATGCCAAGCTGAGATCCTTGCTTCGACGCGCTGCGGAGCAGAGAGTCATGCTCGTATTTGTCGTCATCGACTCGCTCTCGCCTCCTCCAGCGAGTGGGACGTCGACCCCCACACCGGGCACACAGCAACAGAGAAGCTCGATCTTGGACATGACCAACGCATCCTACACCACTGACGCCAACGGTCGACTGCAGCTCAAGATGGAGAGGTACATGGACACGTTCCCCTTCGACTACTACGTAGTGGTGCGCGAGGTCGAGGCGCTCCCCGAGGTGCTGTCGGCGACGCTCAGGCAGTGGGTCGAGAAGATTCGCGAGACGGAATCGTGAAGCTTTTTCTCCTGTCACTCATGGCTTCCCAACAAATGTAAATACGAATGCTACGGTTCCCATACGACGTCCTCTGTGTGTTTGCTCGTCGAGAGAGTGATCGAGCCCGTGATGGGAGGCACAGGCATCTTGTGAGATCGGGTACGACCCCATCGTCAATCGGATCGGATGACTTTCCAACGGAGACGCTCGACCGGATACGACGGCCCAGACGGTTTGGTTTTTGCCAAGATTAAGCTCTCACGCCGGAGCAGCTGCGCATCGGAACCTCAAATACTGATCTTAGGTTTGAAATTTCCCACACTAAAGGCAAGTAGTTACTGGTGCATGGAAACCATCTGCTCGTCGTCTCGGCTGAGCCAATTGATAAGAATGCGAATTCGCCGGTCGACGAGGGGAATTTGACCGGTAGCATCTGGAGAGGGGAAAAGGGAGCTCGGATGGGACGCAGGTGCGCTGCACGTCGTGCAGACAGCGTTCCGATTGGCAGCAGAAGCGGACTCTCAAGGTTTTCCTGCAAGCTGGCCCCATCCATGACGAAGCGAAACTTTGTCATGGAAGTCGATTGATGCGTTTGCGCATTCGGGAACATAGCTGGTCCCGGTGTCATGCGATGCTAACGAGACCAACTCTATCGCGCGCATAGGGGGTTCAAAAGGCCGCTTCAAACGCCGACCCAGGTTGAGGGGTCCATTTACCGGTCGAACTCGGGACGGCTTCCGAAGACCGGTCTGGTGGGTGCCAATTCCACCGGAACGCGCCTCAAGGTCCCCGGTTCCGCACGTACAATGGAGGAAATCGGGTGTTGGCCAGCATCCCGTCGGAAGAGCATGGCGCTGCGAGCGAGTGTTTGTGGAGTCAACACGATGGGTGATGACCCCGGCAGAGGGCGCCGATGCAGTCGGGTGCTTCCTGCGCGCCTCACTTTGCGCAGACCAAGTGTTCGGCTGCGGACGATGATCCCGCTTCTTCGCTTCGGTTTCGAACGAGGTGAAACGGATGCAGCGGAGCACCGCTCGCAGCGATGGATAAGTCGGACAGGTCATGCGACATGGCGTGATCGCCCCCGTGTACGAACATTTCTGGGGGTCACGCAGTCGCGGTCTGGACTGCGCCTTCGATTCGTCGGTTAGGTGAAGTCATGGAAGCTAAGACAGTACCCATGTGATCTTTGGAGGAGCAACGACGCTCGACTGATGCTGCCGCTTTGCTCGATCTGCCCAACTTTGGCCCGCGGCAAAACCCAGGGGAGTAATCAGATCAAACTTGCCTTCATTGTTCGTTGGTTCCCATGGTGATTCGCCGAGGATTTCGAACAAAGACCATGCATAGACAGGTTCGACTCGGCTCGTCTCTATTGTCTATCGCTCGCGCGGGTCAAATCACGCGACATGGCCCGGAATCGAGAGTGTGTCCCAGGCTAGGCTGCCGGTAAAAGACGGCTCGAGCACGCCAAGCTGCTGCTCGGCATTGTTTATTATGTTCCCATGATGGCGGATGCTGCTATTGTCATCCCTGTTCTGCTATTGTGATGAGTGTGGGCTCGCTTGTCGATTTCGAGCCTCGCACATGAAGTGCAGGGCTTTCGATGCGAGACACGGGCCCCTTGCCCCTCGATCGTGTAAACGCCGGAAACCTGGCAGACGCTCCCGGTGTCCGCGGACGAGATGTCGAGCACGTGAAGAGATCTCCGGGCCGCGAATCTCTTGGCGCGCCGCACCGCGTAGCCGGTGCCTGGTCTCGCCTGCCCACGCGGGTGATCTTGCCTTCAAAAGGGAAGCCTTCTGCCATCGCCGAGCTGGTTCATGCAACATGGTATCAAGGCCAGAAGATTACCCGGCGACAAGGTCGTGTTTATGCGCAGAAGTGCACGTATGTTGTGAGTGCATGAGCAGCCTTTGGGATCGTCATTGTTGCCGTCATCGACGAGCTAGTCGTGGCAAGTTCGTAAGGATGGTGCACCCAGAAAGACGGCAAGAGCATCGATTCTGGCCAGTTCTTTCAACGCAATCTGTCTCTTCGAAGCGAGTCCGCAATAAGTGCATGCAGACGACAGTGGAGTGCCAATCAACAAGAGCCGTATCAACAGCGAGTGCTCTCACGCTCCGGGGTAGAAGAGCAGAGAGTGCGTCCGGATGAACGCTTGACACTTAATGAGGCTACACTCCCGTCGGTCCAGGCGGCGAAACCCCGGATGACAGCTGAGGTCAGCAGCCATTGTGGTGAACGTATGTGGAATCATGATCGTGGCGAGAAGCGGAAGAGGAGAGATGGCCCATTGTGTGGATTGATGTCGTCGATTGTGATTCGTGCTGAGCTTGGATTTCGGAAGCTTGCCGAATAAAGTGCGTTACCAAATCGCCTTGGCCTCCATTGTGTTGGTGTGCTGAGTCTGAACCTTGGCATTGTTCGTTGCTGACCGCGCTACGCGCTGTTGCTGTGACTCAAGGCCACAGTTGCACCGACGGAAAACAAATGGCTCTCGCAAGCAAGCACAATGGCACAGCACCGTACCTGAACCCTACAGAGTCCGGTGCCGATGCCGGGCGATCGCGACACCTTGACCTTGTGCATCGCCCTGATTGCTGGGTGTGATATAACGTGACATGGAGGACACCAGAGAAAGACAAGCTTTCCCACCCCCCACGCCGCGCTCCAGAACGATGCCAAGGACTGTCGCTGCAGCTTGTCTCTCGCTAAGCCGGGTCAGCACGGTACCCACGGGAGCGGAGTATGGTCGCTAAATGAAAGCAAGCTGCAGGTCGTGATGAAAATCAGGTGATCGGTATGCAGGGCGCACTTCGGGTGTTCTAGACTCTGTGGGCCGGGTTTGGGAAGGGACAGAGGTGACGGGAGACGGAGTTGTCTCCAGCTGCTTGGGGTCAAGATAAGCGAAAGGAGACGGTGTGATCGGATCTGGCGGGTACAGCAACAGAGACGATCCCTCCCGAGCGTTCCTGGCTGAGTTTGGTGACCCTGTTTCTGAAACGACGCGGTCAGGGCGAGGCGAGGTCAAGGTAAGGTGACTTGTTGTGGTAAGTTGGCTGCGCCCTTTTGCGCTTCGCACCCTTAAGCGAACAGAGACACGAACCGGATGCTGAGAGATGATGCCTCATCGGACCCAAAACAACAGGTCGGTCAACCTCACGCCTTCCGTTCCGGTAAATTTGAAATTTGCCTTTTTCGTCTAGATTTTATTTAATTTTCGATTTTTCCCCGACAGCAGCAAGCAGAACCTGGACCTGATTGGGACCGCGGTTCACGATCACGCTCGCTGCTGTCTGGATGGTGGTACGTACCTTTGACTGATACCATCCAAGTCCGCCCATCTCCATCTGGTCGTTGGTGTCTCGGAACATTACCTCGTTTTACGCTCGCAGCTTCTCCTCATCAGATGACCATGACCTCACAGGCGTGCGTTCCTGGTCGTTGCTGCAAGATCTGGCCCGTAGGGTGTGCCTGATTTGGACCCCTTCACATCTGTCATCCCTCTTGCTCCGGCTCTCTTGCAAGCATTCCGGTGTGCTGTTACCGTGTCTAACCTCGGCTAACGTTCCCTCAGTCCAAGCCCGTGTTGGAAGTGATCTCGGCTAGGATGAAGCTCGATGCGCGGCAGGGGCTGTTCTCAACACAAGGCCAACGACGATGGCATGTATGTAAGCGCCTTGTACCAGCTCGCGGCAGTTATACGATACCATCCGAATCGCCGGAGTCCGAGGTGAATGCTCAGACTGTTATACGCTTAGTTGCCCTCCAATTGAAACAACCCCGATTGGCACGTCGAGTCAGGAGGCATCGAGTGTCTTTGCCCGTTCGCAATTCGAAACCCGAACACACACAGGGTGGATCACGAGACGACGGCGACAGTTCCAAGTCGGACCCCTGTGCTCGCAGCAAACCGCGCTTGAGTGTGATCTTGCTAGCCAGCACAAAAAAGTACTCAAGCATCAACCAGTGAGCGGAACCGGTTATTGGTCATCGATCACACCACGAGAGCCAGCTCTGTCGAGAGCGGATCTTGAAAAGGGGTCTAGACTCGCTTCAGCCGAACGGTTCGGCTCTGCGTCGTACCGCCCTGCAATGCATCATCCAACCTCGTGCATAGCGTGACAACCATCATCCGAGCCGAGCCGGTGTTGTCTGTCGTCAATGTCTTTGAAACAGCAATGCCAAGCAATCCGGGCTGCACGTACGTACTGGCCCTGCATCCGAATGCCAGCCTCTCCATGTTCAAAGTCCGAAGCAGTGTGTCGGATCGGCGTGGACACGATTCGAGTCTGGCCCACCCGGTCGCGCCCATCGATCCACCCGAGACCATGTCGGGCGGAGTATCCAGCTGTGTTCCTGAATGACAATGTCACGTGCTCTTGGATGTAGGCAAAGACGAGGATGGCAGCGGTAGACCAAGCCAACGAGGATGGTGGTGAGCGAGGTGGCTCCGGACTTTGGAGTTTTGAGTTTGGAAAATGGGCTTTAAAATTGACTGCTGTCCAGCTGATCGCTGTCCGCTCGATCGGTAACGAATTTCAAACTCAAAGCAAACTGTCGGACCCACTGCCGGTCAACTTCCTCCCTCAGTCAGCAGTGACGCTGGACGTGGGGAAATGCGCGTTCGCCCTTTCCTCCCGATCGAGAGCTAGAACCGAACTGCAGACACTGCATTGACTCCAGGAGCGGAATGGCGAAACACGATCAACATGCCTCGCTTGTTCGTCGCTCGCAGATCCCACTCCAGGGCTTGAGAGTGGCACGGTCAACTGCTCTGAATGCTGAATGCTTGCTGACTGACCCGGTTGAACGGAGCATCTCGTGCAACCAACCCAATGCAGATCATCGTCTCCAATTCAGCTGTCGCTTTCAATTGCGACAGGGGAGCGAATACATCCCTTCGTCGCTGCTGCATAGGAATGTGGCGCTTGTCATTGATTCTGGAAAGAGAGGTTGACAAGCAAGCCCACAGCGCATGAACCGGTGGCTTTTGCAATTTCATAGGCCTAGCCCGTGGCATTCGAAGACCCGGCGTGCCAGCAAAGCACAGCGGACGATGACCGACATGTCTGGACTGTTTGGTCGCTGGTGATCTAGCCGCAATCACAGTCAGAAAGCACCGCAGGGTCGTCGTAAGCGAAGACCAATGTCGGAACGTGTCCGAGGGATGGTTTCATAGCCGAACCAACGCGATATTTGGTTTTGGGCCCACCTTGTTCATCATTTCCCACGCTCGTCTCGGCTGCGTTGCGCTTGCAGCGAGGAAATGAGATTGTGGCATCTTTCTTCAACATCAAGTCGCTGCCTCCAAGCAACCCCCAACGAGCTGTCACTCTCACATAGCAGTTCATCACTTCTCCCATTCCCTCAAGCTCGACACGACTGGACATGTTGGAGAGGACATGGCGGACAGTGCGAGTCAGACGGTGAAGCCGAGAGGGCGTGCGACAAGAGAGACAGCTGGGCCCACAAATGGTTTGAGATGTGGATTATTTTATTAAAACACCGCCGAACGGGCGACTTCTCTGGTATCAGAAAATTGCACACACCTTGCGCTTTCTGGGCCCCGGTCTTCGGACCCAGCAGCTCCCCTCTGCCAACTTAGCCGCCTCCCTCCGACGCTGGCCTGCTGCTGCCCACACAAAATCACGCCCTTCTCGTGTAAAATTTTCTTTTTCCAAGCGTCGCTCCTCGGCTTTTCCGCTTCTTGTCTCTGCAATCGGTCACGCTTTCGCACGCTCGCTCTTCTGGTACGGTGCCCTCGCATGTGTGTTTGCCTTGGTCGGGCGTAAGCGCGCGCCAAACCGACTTACGGACGTGGCGAACCCATCGCGCTCTTCCTTCACACGCGCCCTGAACACGCGCGCATACAGGCTTGCCCACATGCACACAGTCCCTCCTTCTTTTTCGCTCTTTCGTATTGTTGCCGGTTGGTCCAATCACCGAAGACATTCGTCCCTTGCCCTTCCAGCCGCACCGCACTCGCATTGTCCTAAGCTGACTGTCCTTGTTCGCAGTCTCAGGGTTCATACGATGCAGGGAGGCTGGACCGAGTGTTGCTAACTCGGTACTGCGCAGGCACAGAAACATTCGCTTGGGAGAGCTCGCTTCGCTTCCGTT